CGGCGGACGCAGGGTCAAAAGTGACCCAAGAATAAAATTGTTTTAAAACGTTTGAAAAGCAATTTTTTTACTATAATATGTATAAAATATGTAGAAAGAGAAATAAAGACACATTTATCGTAGAAACAAATATCAATTTATTCATTTTCTTCACAGTTGAAAAGATTGAAAAGAGTAAACAACTCTAACTCGCGGGTACCCCTGCGCCCGCTGGCGGAAGGTTAATAATATTCAAGCGTAAATTTTATAATTTTTTGCAATAAATTATTTCACAGGATTTAAGAAGAGGATCATCAACATCAAAATTATTAAATTGCTTGTCAATTTAATTATGATATTACGTACTCTGGATTCAGTTAGAGCTGTGTTTTAAGACTGACAAAAGTGTCGGCGCGCAGTTTGCTTGAGCTGAAAATTGTAAGATTCACGCTTGAATATTATTAAAGCTTCTAAGATGCTTCAGATCGCATTAGGCATTTTTCTCGTATTGTTGATTTTAAATATTTTACCTAATCAAATATCCTTTTAGCCACTAAATATAGGTGACATCGTTATATGTTATAGATAACATATAACAGAGTGGTCCATTTAAACTCTTGAATATTTTACTTGTTTTTGACATGAAAAAATGTTTCAGATGAAAGTGGAACGGTTTCGAGAGAAACGTATTTTAGTCATGTTGCTTTTTTTCTAGATTAAGGCGCCAAAAAGATATGAAGGTCAGCTCCATTTTTTTTAATGGAATTATATAATTTTTATTACATAATATGATTCCTCTAATTATTCTGCATTTAAAAGTATTAAGGTGATTTATCGAAAAATCAATACTTTACGAGATATTTTATACTTTATCATGCCATATTTCAACATAAAACATGAAATATCTCGTAAACTATTGATTTCTTGACAATTGTACTTTAATACTTTTATGCACAGAATACTGAGATGAATCGATTGGTGTAAACAAAACAAACAGTTGCTTTTTAAAGAAAATATGTAGTTGCATATTACAAATTGCATATTTTTTACATTTACTCCGGTTTACATCCACTCTATTGGTATGCCAATAATGTAATCAATAGTTTGTGATGTAAACTTTATTTATTCTCAAAACCTGAGCTCGAATACTATTATACTTGATCGATCGTGTTGACGCACATCTTTAAATCGACATAGCGATCTTTTCATCCATCCGAGCAGAATGCCAACGATATATTCCATTAATTTATATAAAAATGTGATTGTTTACTAAATGGTAACACAAATACTGTCATATCCGAGTCTGTGTCCTAAGAGTTCACTTTGCACCACTACACCGACCCCTTCCGTCCACTTTAGAGGTATGCCAATTACAGTACGTCGGATTTTTTTTCTTTCTTCAGAGATTGGTACAACTTTCAGACTGAATACTGTAATGTTTTTTTCGTTGTACAAATAATTATTTAAAAATTTATCCTTAACAAGTACATCCACTGTACACATATGCCAATTGGTCTCCTGTTGTCTCTAACATTGTAATAGTAAAGTAATATATCTTCAACTGAATACTATGATGCCCACAAAACTGCGATGAGGCCCCGCACTATATCTCTTGCTTTTGTTTTGAAATTCACTTGAATGCGAATGGATTTTTCGCAGTTTTGAACAATGAATTTAATGACCTTTTGGAAAACATTCCTTTGAATATGAGAGTGAGCTCCAAGTTTCAATTGGATGACTGCCCTGTTGCAAATTCTTACAAGAAAAATTCTTGTGAGATCTTCCAAGAAAATTTTCACGTACGAATTTCGGACAGGAACATACAAGATCGTATAAGAATATATCTATAGGTAAATCAAGAATCTTTCATGAATCTTACACCCATGTTATATGAACCTTATAAGTATGTTACATAACTCTTGCACGCATGTTACATGAATCTTGTGCGCAGATTACGTGAATCTTGCGCGCATGTAACGTGAATTTTGCAAGAATATAACTGGAGTATCATTATGAAAATATTACAATAATATGTACCATTGGAATTTTGTGTGATTTATTGCTCGTATCCTAGTAAATAAAATAGACAAGCAAGGAGTTGAATGGGATTTAAAAGAATTTATTTTAGCTAAAAATTAATTCTTTTTACACAAATTGAATAACGGCTTTTCGATGAAATCAAACTTAATTTGGGAAAGGAGCATAAAGCCTATGCCAGTTATTATAGCGAAATTATAATTTAAAATTAATTAATAATTCAGTCATTTTCAGTATTCTAACAAATTTTTTAATTTTTTTCATTATTTTTTTATTTCATATATTCAATCCAGTTTCTGTTCATTTAATCATTCCATTTCGTTTACTGGGATGATCGATACCTTTATTACAAGGTTAAGGCAAGATCTTTTCATTGCGATATAAATCGTCGTGTACAATTCATTTCAGATTCCTAGGTCATTAAAGATTACTGGTGAGATTCATGTACAAATTATATAAGATTCTTATATGATCATGTACGTTCATTTAGTAATCTTGATTGATCACAACTCTTTTCAGATCTGGTACAAAAAATGGTAAAAAAAACTTACAAGAATTTTCAACAGGGTGTCCTGCTCACCATGGCAGAGGTTCTTGATAGTGGCTTAACATTCATTTTCCCAGGAGATGGATCTGTGTTGGACCTGTGGCTTTCTCTCCGTGTTCATCGGATTTAACATTATTAGATTTTTTTGTATGGAATATTCTGAAGCAAAAAGTGTATGCAGTGCCTGTTAATGACCTTTAATCATTGAAACGAAGAATTGTGCGAAGAAGCGTGCGAAGAAATTACAGATGCACAACGTCAGTCAGCCACTCATTCTCTCATAGGTGCCATGCTTGTCTACGGATTGAAGGCAATCATTTTGAACAAAATATTTAATAATGACATTTTGATTATTGTAAAGTAATAAAGATAGACCTTATTTCGACATTACTCATTCCTATAGTTCTGTAACTTCAGAAATCAATATCTCTTGAATAAAGCGTTTGCCAACAAACTTTCAGAGGAAAATTTTTGTTTGTTTTGAGGTTCTACATTCATATTTAATGTTTAGCCATTAAAAAAGAGAACACCATGTATAACGCGATATCTTGATATGTTTATAAAAGAAAGTATCTCTAATTATTATAAACGTTGAAAACGTATCTCTAGCTCAATATGGGTTAAATATAAATAATAAAATATATTTATTAATCTTATAATATTTTAGCTAAAAGAGCGTGTAGTGTAAATTAATTGTATAACCATTTATTGACATGTTAAAGACATAAATTATACCATTTGTACAATAATACTTTATAAACGTTTACAAATGAGATCTCTTTTATGAATCATACATGTTTTCAATAAACAGTTTTTTCAGTTTTTTTTTTATATAAATTTTATAAATAAATGTGTTATTATATAAATAAATGTAGATGCATCCTCAAATTATATCTTTTTTTTTTCGTGTACTGGCTCTCAACATATAAAATCTGTTTTGTATTATGCAAATATAATAAAAACGGATATCAGTATCATATATTGTACGATCGCATAAAAATGGTAAAAATTAAAACGTTTATGTGTTATACACTTTTATTTTTATACCTACTTTATAATTAACAAACCATCGTGTGTTTATTGGATATATACATATATAAATATCAAATGAGCGTGTATAATGTGTGTGTATAATCTATGTTTGTTAAATCTATATTTGTGTATATAATCTATGTATGTTAAAGGCATGTTTTTCCTATCCGTTATAAAGTCAAATATTTCGATAACAAAATAGCTAATTGTTGAAATTTAATGTCGTTAAATGAGTTTATACAGACATCTAAAAATATGCAATATTCTCCTCGGTAATACTAACAATAAACTTCATTTCGCGTGTTTAAGGCGCATGCACATATACAGTCAGAAGCAATGAGGTTGCGACTTTTTTTCCGATGAGTTTAAGAATACGCGATCAAGTTCAGGATGCGAATTCCTCTCATGTGAAATGAATGAATATGATCATATGAGGTTTGTTAAATGTGTCTCATTCATTGCACATGAGAAGGATTCGTATTCTGAACTTAATCGCGTATTCTTAAACTCATCGGAAAAAAAGTGTCGCAACCTCATTGCTTCTGACCGTACACTGTTATAAATGTGACCACGAGCTTCCTTTACATGTAAATGAAGCTCATGGTTATGAATGAAATTAAAAGTAATGAATAATTTAACTGAAAATTAAGTTACAGCCGTTACTTAAATGTAATAACCGTGTACATTAAATTTCATAAATTTTCATAAAAAATACATTAAATTTCATGTACACAAACATACTTTTCAGTTATAAATATATTAAATTTAATGCAATGTCATGAAATTAAGTTCAAATTGTGTAAATTAAAAGTATATTAAATTTCATGAAAATTTTAACAGTGTATGTACATTAGGTACATGAATGAACGGCGCGGAAATAATTATCAAGGGGACCAGGTCAAATACGAGTACCAGAGTCAAGTTGATAATGCTCAGCAGGGTTAAACGCTTCCTTGACCTCTCTTAATGAGTCAGTAAGACACACTTTGCCATATTAACTTTAATATTTTAGAAATTGTTTAAAAAATTGTAAAAGGAATGATCAAAGAAAAGAGAATTTCTTCTAATAAAATATTTATTTATACTTCCGTTAATTTCGTTACGTGTATCGCATCTTCATCATAGGAAGAGAAAATCTATTACAAAAATAAACCCAAGGGTAAGTAGGTGAGAAAGTACTAAACAGTACACTTCATATATTTATACTTGACATGCATGTATACTCGTAAAAGGAATCACATGTATAGGCAAAAAGGAGAAACTTCGTAGCCATCGGTGAACGGACAGTGGGGAAGAGAGAGAAGATGCAAGAGGGAGATAGAGAGAGACAGAGACAGACAGAGAGAGAGAGAGAGAGAGAGAGAGAGAGAGAGGAGTGTTCTTGGCAAAGAGGGTGTTGGTTCCTCAGTATCGTACTGGACACGTTTGGCATCGGCAGTATTTACCGTCCAGATTGTTCGCCAACGCAAATTGCTTTCCAGACCGTTTTAATTGAGAAAGGATTTTCTTCACGAAGCTTTCTACGTAGCAAAGTCGAGAATTCACGGTTTCGGTGAACGGATCGATATAAAAAATGATTTCCACCGAGCGCACAGCGACAATCATCTTTGGATTATCCTTTTTCGTAGCTTCAGGTGAGTTTGCACTAATCTAATAAATAAAATATTATTGAAAAAGATTCTTCTTATGAAATAAAGATTTAGAAAAGTGAGATAGCATCTATGGTTATTTTAGACAATCGTATAAAGTCCATAGATAAAGTCGTTTTGCCGCAGATTCGATCTATCCTGTTTTTAGATATACTAAAAGAATGTTTTTTAAATATTATCTTTTTCCCTTTTTTATTGAGTGAATTTTATATACATACATTTTGTACAAAATTGTATTATGTAAAGAAAATATTATAAATACATGCATACATTTACGTGCGTGTATGTGTGTATCTATATATACATCTATATATATATAATCTATATATATAATCTATATACATATATATATATACAAGATTATATTCCATTATATGTTATATTCCAAACGTAGTAGGTTGAATATCTTAGAAAATATGAAAGATACGGACAAATATTTCAGATGAAGGTTATACATTGGTAAAATTAATTTTCGGAAAAGAATTAATTTTTCAAATTCTATATAATATCGGCTTTCCGACCAAGTCAAAATAATTATTTAAGGAGCATAAAAGCTAACGCAAGATATTAGTGCAATAGTCTATTTTTCCTTCATATACTACTCCTTTTTCAGTTTGGGAGTGATCACGTGCGTCTTGTTGCAATTTCCTACTGCCAATTATAGCGACTTCTGTGTAGAGAGTTTTTTTATTTCGCTTTTTAGCGGTGTGTGTGTGATTGGCTTATGCGCAATTGGTTCGTGTGCAGTTGATGTGCACTCTTCAGTTGATACCACTCTTTGGCCCTGCAGTAAGGGGTATTAGACTACGGGTTGACGATTACGATTGACGGTTGCCCGGTTCTATTTCAACCGATCACGATAGACTCGCTACATCGATGGGCAATATGGCTAACTTCCGACTCTCGCATTGACAAATAACATGATAATCGTCAATATGAAAGTTAAAAGTTGACCACATCATAAGGTCGAAACTAAAAAGGTAGTAGTCGCCCATCAAACTTTAAACCGAAATAACTTTTATAAATTGTAAAATAATGTTATGTCATACACCATTGTACTCCGTTAGAACGGATGCTACAACTTTTATTATATCAAAATACTTATTTTATCGTTCAAAAATTATGCATATATCTCCGTCCTCTAACATGAGCAATTTTTTCGATAATCACTGTACTTACAATAAAGTTTAGTTAGAGCCGTTTAACTTTATATTATATTTATTAGATCCATCTCTGTTAGTTTACATTATAAAAAAGGATGACCGCTTATATAACATCCTATACCTTACACAAAAATACGTGAATAAAAGGATATATATATATATATGTTTCCATTATAATTATCTGAGGAAATTTTAGCATTTACCGTTTCCATAATTCTACGTAATTACTTTTTTTTTTACCATAAAATATGTTAATTCCCTACAATTATTTGAGCTTAAAATTTTGCAGACCCCTTTCGTCTATCTGCGCTTCTAAAAGATATATTCTTGTATCACACATAGGTATCATTACATTAAGAAACATATAACTATGATATCACAATCATAACACAGTTCAATACCAAATTCTCTTCGATGCGCCATATTCCGAAAATTTTTTCGCACTGAATATAATATCATAATTTGCGTGTTATGTTTGGAAAAACAGAAAACAGGGCAATTTATCATTGTATCATGTAATCATAACAGCTTTCATTCTTATTTCTTTTAAAATATATTGCGTATGCATAATCTTGCCTACTTCTTGACATTTCCTTTGAAGTTATAGACTTTATCATACCTCAGTGCATTTTTACAATAGCTACAGCTAGATTATATACAAAACTGGCATGCGCCATTAATATCCGTTGTACTTATTTAACATTACATCATGTCTTAATCATACCCGCATCTGTTTTCCTTTATAAAATTACGCATATATCCTCTTTGTGATTTCAATTTAGATTTATTTCTGTGAATTTTTCCGTAATTTATATTTTGCGGGTATCTCGAGCAAACGATACCTAATACACATCTGTGATTGTTTGACAATATTTTTATAAAAATTGACTTATATGTGCGTGTTATCTGTTTTTTACTCTTACATTTTATCTTTAAGAAAAACTAAAAGAGAAGAATAGCTAAAAAGAGTAAAGGAAATTTTACGAATCTAAAACTTCATATTTTAATAGAACTATGTAAATAGGATAAATCTAGAAATTTTTAGTTGTTATTAATAAATTATTTTAAAGGGATCCTGAAGTGACAAGTATTATTGACTTATTTAAATAACATTATTTATATATAATTAACGCTCTAATCATTCATGGAATGTTTGATTCGTATTTCCAATGCGTCGAGCATTCCGGAACAGCAAAAGAATTTTCATCGAATTTTCAAATTCGTGCTGGAACCTACTTTCCCTAACAGTCCTGGAATTTTCATGAGCCCATACATGATAATTTCTTTGATTAATAATTCCTCCTCTTGTAAATGTAGCTTCGTCCGTCTAGATTATTTTTGATGGAAATGAATTATCATTGTTAAATTGCTCTAGAAACCAATTACTAAACTTCAACCTCTTGAAATAATCCTGAGATAATAATTCTGCACTTTTGAATATGGTACGGATGGCGGTTATCAATTCTTAAAGTTCGATAGATTCTTTGCTGTGGCAATTGTAATGCAGCTGATGCTCTCCGGACGCTGGTCTCAGGATTGTTATCAAAGAGATGCGGAACACAATTTTTCACTTGCATATTTGCTCCTAACGGATCTTGATGAATTGAAAATGAACCGGTCTCTCGCAGCCTATTAAAAGTCATTGTAATCACTCGCCGATTCGGCACTCTTCTGTTTGGAAATCGACGTACAGACTCTCGCACCGCCTCCGTAGCATTACGTCGCAGAAACCATACACGAAAACCATGTCAGCATATTCAACGTTAGAATATGTACGCGGTATATTGCGACAGAAGTAATTTACTCGATAACTTCTGACGAGTAACTGACGAATTTATAGAAGAAAGGCAGAAATATAAACAAACAAAAAGTTTTCACCTGAAAACGGAATTATTATTATTGTTTTCGTGCACGATGTAAGCGACAATAATATTTCAGAGGCAGTATAGGAACGAAACAACTATGTTTTACCTTATTTGCGATTTTTTTCAAAACAAAGCAAAAACGAGCATATCTCTACAGGGCTTTTTTTCTTAGTTTATCAATCCTCTACACGCTTCCGAAGTTTAGACATTTAAATTCGGGACACCCTGCATATAAGTAGATTTACACAGGATATCCCGTTTGAAAGGATCCACTGAAATATCTCGAAAACACTGCGTTAAATCGAAAAATGTTTCAGACAAAAGTTTTTTGACGTCGAGGGAGACATAAGATAATATTATTGGTTTGACCTTGGATGGCGTTGTCAAAGTCAGGACAAGGTTACTTTGAATTTTTTAAATGGAAACCTCCATTTTTCATTACATATTCTTGTAGCTTATCTCGAGAGCTTTTCAAACTACTATAATGAAATATTTTTCATTAAATATTACTTTTCGAGTTATAAAGCTTGAAAGTTACAGTACCGCCGGCATTAGCAATAATTACTCAAGGTGTCCGACGGACGGTTAAAACCTCTTAAATGTTGTTCAGGATCATGACCTGGATAACATTTATCAGGATCAAGCTCCATTGGAGCAAAAATATTATGACTTACGTTGATTACACCAGCAAGAAACTATCTTAAATGCCACACTTGTGTATATGATATCCATGGTACTTTTCAATACCCGATATTTCCTGAAATCCTCGTCGCAAATTATCTAAAGTTTTATGGAATATAAAGATAAAATCATAAAGCTTATTTTCTGACCCGAGACGGTACCTTTCAAAAACAAAAAAGTTCTAATCTTGGTAATAAAAAAGCCTTGGTATGCCATACTCAAAAGTGTTTATAAGGGTTAATAATTATAATATTATAGATAATCTATCAATCTCAATGTGTAGGCTCGATAAGTAGGCTGCATTGCGAATCCCATAAAAAAGTGTTGCATTTTATTCACCACGTATATGTACTTAGTATGCGCGAAATGCTACTTTTTTTAATCTTTACAGCACTTAATAAATATCTGAAAATATCTCATTATTTTTATTAATATTCAGAAATATCCTCTTTTTTAAATGTAATCTATTTTCCAATTTTTTAGACTCAGCAAGAAATTAGAAAAAAATCGCAATGCTTAGTAGGGGCATATAAGATCCGATTATATTTTACATATAAAAAAATGATGTAGTTATTGTATGTTATAAATATTAATATAATTTCAAAATGACATAGAAAAGTTTTATGATAAAAATGTTTCTGTTTATCCATCATTAGTAACATTTTGAAAAAAATAATTATATTCAAGAGCTCACGTCTTTGCATTCGTTAAAAAAGAATATCTATCGTCGTTATAATATTATAAAATAAAGATATTTACATACTCAATGTATTTTTTTTATAATTCTGTATGAATAACTCTATGTCGAAACGTAATGAAGAGAATATGTAATCTATTATTTTTCATGTTTAAACGCGTTTATATTGTTTCGGCACTTAAATCATAAATTAATGTTTTATAAATTTTTCATTGTGTGTTTAACAGGTTCCGCTTTACGATGTTGGGTGTGTTCGTCCAATGTAAATGTCATGTGTAACGACCCAATGAATACTACAGATCATCAAGCTGCGTTCCATATAAGGACTTGTGATCCAGGTCCCTACGGCTCTTCAAAACCCATCTGTCGCAAAATCGTCAAACGAGGTAAAATTGCCTGCTCATTTGTCCAGAATAACGCACACACTGTGAACGTGTAAATTCTCTTATAAAAATATCCCAATATATTTATCGAATATATATCCAGAAAGCACAGTTGTTATGAATTCAAAAAAGTATTCACCTTTCTATACATTATTTATGAATTAGCGTAATCTGTTTGAAAAAAATTATTCATTTACAAGTAATATGCGGCACTGTCGATAGATAGAGACGACAAAGTTAAATTTCTCATAAATAAGAACCATATAAGATAGAATGAGAAATGTAGCATTATGACATCTTTAACCTGTATTTTGATAGAATAATTTTTTTAAGACAAAAAGGGGCTCCCATAATGAAACTTGAAAGACCATGTTCTGATGTACACTGTCAGTATAGAACATCTAGTATTTTCTAAATGAGATGTATTTTGACAGTACAATTTTGTTTACTTCTATGTAAAAACTAATTTAAGAACCTAATATTCTTGAAAATTATGTGTTTATTGTTCGTGTTTGATAGGATAATCTCTGAAAGCTATTATATTTTAATTAGAAATTTCTGATAGTTGATTATGAAAAGATTTTTTGTTTCTGAAAAAGAGCTCAGAATTGATGACACAAAAGTGAAACCTTTTAGAACTCTTGAATGTTTACAAATCATAAATAGAAGAAGAATAGAATTTTCATAATTCGAGGATTTAAACAATTATTTTTTTAGTTGTCTATGCTGTATAGACATGGTAGTTTCAGTAATCTTTTAATTATGCAACATAACATGTGTTAAGTTTAATGGAACGTGAATATCGATAATGTTTAAACACTTCAAAGTAATGCACGTTTTTCTTCGCATTTTAACATGCGCCTGCCTTACGTTATACGTTCTTCAATCGTTTACGTGTACTATAGCTCAGAAAAATCAACCGCGTGATCGTGATGGCAAAAAATTCTGCTCTGCAAGTATGAGATACACCAACATGTTCGTTTGTTAGGAGGATGACGCATTGTGAAGTAGTATTTTTTTAATGCGTTGTATCTTTTTCCTTCGAGACTGTGACACATACACGGTAATATGCGTCGCGATTGAGTCATGCCAGCGCGCATAGAAATAATAATGATAATTGAACATTAAAACAAGGTTGATGCCACACCTACGAGAAAAAATTGTCATTATGCTGCCACGAGATTATGATTAATTTCGGTGCCAGGGTAATACACGCCTTGCTCTCTCTCTCTCTCTCTCTCTCTCTCTCTCTCTCTCTCTCTCTCTCTCGCTCTCAGGCGCGCGCGAGCGTTATCATCGCGTTGTTGAATTTGTCATTGCATGTTTCATAGTAAATCGAATGTACTAACCGCACGTTGAATTCCGTCAATTCGACGGAATTCTAGCATGACGAGGCAGCGCATATGAAATAGCAAACACGGCCGCCACATAAATGCAAAGTTACGTAAGCGATAATAATAATGCTATTAAATCGAACTTTGGATTTGCGTTTGTCGGTGCACAAGAAAAGATGACCCCAATTGCACACTATTGAAGGATTTTTTGAGAAATTCCCGTTAACTCTTGTTGTTTCCTGTATATAACGAAATACACAAAAAGAATATCTCACAAAGGTATTTTGTCAATCGCAAATCACGATTACAATTTCTTAATTATAAATCTGAACTTCTCTCTCTCTCTCTCAGACCTATAAACTCGCAGACTTTACAATGGTATTCTGTTTATAACTTTATATGTCATTATTTTGATAAGTGTATATGCATCTATGTGAATATAAATTATTATTAAATTAAACAATTTTAATATATATAAATATTAAATAAACTTATAATATGTACAAGGTGTTAGTTAAGTATGTTGCCATACTCAACAGATTCTTTGATTTATTTCAAGTAAAAAAGTTCATATAAACATGTGTCCTAAACGACTTAATTTCCAAAATACAGATGAATGTTCACAAATGTTTGACGAAACAGTAAATTGCGTTGGAGATATCTTCCTGCATAAATAAGCCTTGCTTCACGTGAGTTACCATTCGCACAATCGTAAACAAAGAGACAAAGTCAAGGTCAAAATCACAAAATCAAAAATAGACTTTAATTCTGATGTTACAACAAAATGTTGCAGATTTTAAGCATTTTTATTGAAAGCATCAAGATTGAATGTTGTTGTAATCGATACCCTTATTTCAAGACGGGCGGAAACTCCCATACTCCTCAGAAGGGTGCAAGTGGTCGCCATACTGTCAAAGTGGTAAATTTTTTCTGAAAAAGAAAATCGATAGCAACATGATTAAATTTTTGTCTATTACTTAATTTTGGTATCAATTGTCAAGAAATATGATTCCTATATTTTTGGATGGTTATCAAGGCAGCCGTACCTACCCGAACATGTATAATTTTCTTATTATGTAAAATTGTAGTTGTTCGGATAGGTAGTAACCATCCCTTAATCTGAACTTTTCAACTTTAACGCTTTCAATAAAAATATTCAGAGTCTACAACATTTTATTATAAAAAGCCTATTTTCCCTTCAAGGGACCGTGATCGACTTAAGGTAATAGAGGAGAAGACGCCACACTTAAGCCTTTATTCTTGAATAACTTCTTAATGTTATTGAATTAAGTTACGAAAAAATATTATTAATATTCTAGAGACCTTTCTTTATTTACACAAATTTATTTAACGTTTAATATTCCGTATTATTAGAAAAAATCGATATATTATACCTTGCAAAAGTGGCATCTTCCCTCTATATGTGTGGATAAGATGCCACCTCTTATGGGAGAAGATGTTACAAACAATTAAATAATGCGATGCAATATAAACTTGCACATTTTACTTATATTTACAGTCCATAATGAAGAGTTTAAGATATGAAAACACATTAAGGTATGATAAAACATAAATTGAGGAAATATGAAAGAGGGTAATTTAGGAAGTAAGTTGGACATACTTTTATTTGTTTAAACAGCATTTCATTAATTTAAAATATTTCGATTTTATAAAGTGATAAGTGGTCGCAGAGGTTTGCACTGTTTTTCTCAAAGGATCAGCAATAAGATAGTTCCAAGACGAGTTCTTTATTATGAAAGATTACAATGTTTAACGGAATAGAAATAAGTAAGAAAAAAAGAGTGTCAACTGGCAAAAATGAAAGGTTCGATGAGAGCCATCGATTCTGATTGGCGTTCTCATTTCGTGGTGGTCTCCTGGATTGAATGTTGGACATGATAATTTCCGTAACATAAAGCATCCAAAATTTAATTCAAAATCATTTTAATGACGGTTTCAAGCAGGAAAAATTGTGTTTTGTATTTACTGTCATCTTATCCCCAAGTGTAAGAGGAATATTCAATTGCAATTTTTACGCGTATAAGAATATTACAAATTATAATCTATATCATCCACATAACCGTCAGGGAACACTGATTGAAACCGTACATTATTTGCCTGGTTTTACAGTAAGCATCGAAATACAGACCTTAGCTATTAATATACCAAATATTACAAAGAGAGCATGTTTCACAACCTACCTTTTCATTTTTCGTATAATCTTTTCCAATCGATACTGGCATAAACATGTTCATCTAAGCCGATAACTGCGCAACTGTTTGCCACACGTTTTTGCACAGTCAGTATGATCAACGCGCGTTCTATGAAAAAACTATAAATAAAGTGGCGTCTTCCCCCTTATGGAATCTCCCCTTGAATTACTTTATATATATTTCTTTTGTAGATGTTTTACATGAAATAAAAGGTTATCCACATTCCATACTTGTCTAAATGGGTAACAAAATCACTATAGTGGCCTCTTGGTCTAAAACAGTATCTGCAGTTACGCATACGCGCGTTTATTCTCACATTCTCATAAAATGAAAAAATAAACGAGAAGTGGCGCTAGTACTTCACGTCAGAGATATTTACTTATATAGCGTATATATTGCACATGAAATTAGAAATAAAGTTCTATCCTGACATACACGAAGCGTGCTTACGTGAAAACTCTGATTTTTTGTTAAACAATTAATCTATGTTTTCAGAATACGGCGAACGGATTATCATACGCCAATGTTCCACCCCATATCATGATGAAATTGACGTCATCGACGGTCAATGCGGCAATTCCATGACACAACCAGGACGTGATGTAATCGAATCTTGTCACATCTGCAGCAGCGATTTGTGCAATTCCGCAACGGCCATCTCCTCGATGAGATTGCTTTATATCACCATAATAATATTTCTTGCCTGTACTTTTCACCAGTCGAAATATTTTCTTTAACTTTATAATAATCTATAGTTGATAAAAGATAAGAAAAAAATGCGCAATCCGAACGATACCTATGAATATCTGGTTTGTTTAATTTGATCTCCCGGAGCCAAAACGCAAAGCTATCAACGTAAAAAAATTCAACGTAAATAAGATTTCAGGGACTGTAAAGTATTGATAAACGCCACTCGAATGCGTATCAACACTTTGCAGTCCCCAAAATCTTATCGACATAGAATTTTTTTTGTCGATGGCTTTGACTCTAAAGCTCAACTTGGACAGACTTGCTTAATGTTATAAATCTACGACTAACAAACTTTCACAGCGTGAAACGAACGCGTTATTTCCCGACTCGATAGTGATTCGAAAAACATGTAAAAAATGCGGCTAAAGAAGCCTCGAATAATTTTCTCCCGTTTCAAGAGCAATCCAATATTGCGAAACGAAAATTATGAACAAGAAAGCGCACAAATTATATAATTAATATTAATTCAATCGAATTGCTGTAAGTACAAAATAAAAGACCTAAAATAATTACGTGTCGACCAGATTTTTCTTTCAGAATGTTTTAAAATTAACGAGTCATAAGTTTGAGTTATCTAATGGATGATTGACACAACTCATCCTATGTACTATTTTTACGCACTCGACGAACCGTCGCATGTAATAAATATGCCATGTATTATAAGATGTATAAATTAATTCTCGGCCTTTTTTTAGTGAGAATTAAGGTTTACTCACATAGAATGAAATTATGCTTCAGTCAGGAAAGTAATTTCCACCAAAATCGACACACTTCTTCCATCTTTCAGGGAGCTGGCGGATCCCCATTCGATAAAAACACGGCGGTTTTGATTCAATGAAATCATTAACGCAATTTTCGACTTCTTTGTATGTCTTAAAGTGTGAGTCTGCAAGGTGATGTTGAAGGGATCGAAATAAATGAAAATCTGTCGGTGCTAAGGCTGATGAATACGCCGGGTGTGGCAAAACTTTCCAGCCCAGTAAATTAAGAGTGTCTTTGGTCGCTTTCGCCGTATGAGGTCTTGCGTTGTCGTGCAGCAATATTACCGGTCTAGGCCTTTTGCTAGTAAAAGGTCTTTTACGTTCGATTTCATCACTCACACGCTGAAGTCGATGTTTGTAGCGTTTAGCAGTGACAGTTTCATTCGGTTTAAGCAATTCAAAATATATCACACCCTTGAAGTCCCACCAAATGTATAAAAGAACTTTTTTGCCATGAATATTGGATTTCGCGATCGATGTTGAAGGCTCACCTCGATTCACCCATGATTTTCGTCTTTTTGGATTGTCGTAATACATCCACTTTTCATCTCCCGTCACTATTTTGTGCAGAAAGTTGTGTCCTTCTTTTTAAATCGAGAAAGCAAAGACAGAGCCGTATCATAGCATCTCGCTTTGTTGTCTACAGAAAGAACGTGCGGAATCCGACGGCTCTCTTTTTGAATTTTTCTCAGCTTTCGCAACCGAATAGAAATGGCTGGCTGAGTTACTTTTAATGCTGAAGCAAGTTCAGATTCGAACTGGCATGGGTTTTCTGCCAATAACTGCTTCAAATCATCATCTTCGAACTTCTTTGGTTGTCCAGGCCGTTCGTCATCTTCGAGATTAAAATTTCCATCCCGAAACTTGTGGAACTACTTTTTACGCGTACTATAGGATATGGCATTCTCTCCTAATGCCAAACAAATCATTTCCTTCGCCTCGGAAGCATTTTTTTTTCAATTGAAACGTGAAAAGTAAGCAGTGCTTAATATGTACTTTGTCGCACGACATCGTGTTGCTTACTGTCACGGTCAATTTTTTGAGGTCATGTCGATTGAATTTCGAATTTTGTAGTTCCATTAGGTTGGTATTATTTAGTACTAAACTTCGCGTGAATAAGTTTTCGCTTAAATAAGTGCTGCAGTTTATTAAATGTTGGGGTCGAGAATTAATTTATATACCTAACAGAATGATTTGGATCCATCTTTAAGTCTCGTTTTCATCATTAATTTTATCTTGTTTCGTTTTAAGATATTATTTTCAACGTTTTCTCTTGTTATATTTTATCTTTTTTTTCTTTTTGTCATAAGAGTACCTTAAGCAGTTAATAGTGAATGATTAGAGAGAACTTATCAAATATCCGTCTAGTGTAGTAATTAGAATAATGGATAAATATGTTCTTAAAGAATTAACGATGCCACCCTGACGAAAATAAGAAAGCTTTATAAAGTGTTGACAACCGTTTAATGACGATTTTTTGAGAGTTTAAACGCTTTTAAACTTTATAAGAACGCTTACACAATATCAATGGGTTTTTAACACTTCCAGAACGCTTATAAAATACAGTATACTAGGTGTCTCAAAAAGGTCAGGAACTTGAATATCTCGGAAAATATAAGTCCTACAGGAAAGTGTGTAGGGTTCAGACAAAAGTTGTAGGGTTTAAAAAGATTCCTTTACTGATCTTATCAGTTTGACCTTGGGTGGAGTCGCCCAGGTCGGTCAGGTCAATGTCACATTGATTTTTTAAAATAGAACTAGAACATAACATATGCGCTTCGCGCGCGCCATTAAATTTTTATTGAAAAAATGAGAAAATAAATTTTTATAATTTAAAAAAATTTTTTAAATTATAAAATTTTTTAAATAAAATATCCTTCTTCTTTTTAATTTCTGTATATAAGCGTTAAAACTTAAGTAATAAGCGAATAGGCTAATCAGAATTGTTTAAAAAAAAATCGTTGAAAACAACGTCACTGTACAGATCGTAGTCATGTTAAGAAAGTTGTAAGGCAAAAGCAATATGTTAAGAATTACTTGAACAAATTACAGATTATTCTAAATTGCATTTAAAAGCAATACAAAAAATTAGAGAGAGTTTATTATCTGGATCAAAAGTTATTTCAATAAAAAGTAATATTTTTTTGTACTCTAATAGAAATATATGAAAATGTATTATAAAATAATGATAAAAATCTCAATTTTTTTATATAAGTTCACTTTATGAATTCAAAAATATTTATATAAAGTTATACATTGAAATGCGGACATTAATTGTTCAGTAAATAAACAAAATATTTATTTTGTGATAAAAAATTGAATTGAGTAATTCTTTAACTATTTCGTAAACTTCTAGAAAAGGACTCCGCATGTTTCTTATGGATTTTAGTTCTCGGTCAAATCTCATATTTTGGGAAATTGTAGTTCCATGTGTCCTGATTAAAAATGTCAATAAGCACGACCTAAAATTAACACTTTTCGAGATATAACTGTTTAAACAGAACAAAAAATCATCATGATGTTAAAATAGCTCCAAAATGTTTACTAAAAGTCATTTTTTGATCAATCACGATTCATTTAATGTCATTTTGATGTTATCGTGAGTTTTTCTACTTTAATTGCGAAAAACTTTTGTATATGAATAATGATATTATGTATGTGGAAACTTCAGGTGTAAGTGACTTTCTATCTTTCTCTAATAGTGATTCTGTGTAAGTGCTTATATAATACATATAATGTGATTAATTAATCAAAATATTTGGCAATATAATGACTATTTTTGAAAAATACTTTAAGTTTATTTCAATAAGTCTGTAATCTGTAAACAGATTACAAAACTCTTAATAAATTTTAAGTACTTCAGAAATGAGATATTTAAATATATATTTAATTGATACTTAAATAATATTTAAGTTTATTATGTCGACATAAGTACTGAAAAGTACTGATGTACTAAAAATAGCTGAAAACTACTTGGTAATAAATAAACATAAAGTAACGATAAGGGCTACAAGCCAAAATATTTAAATATTAAACAAACATTTCGACCTTTTTATCTTTTAAGAAGGTTTTATGTGCAAGAATTGTGGACATTTTGCTATTCCAGAGTTGTCTCGGAAATGTTGTAGACATATTTCGCAATTTTTATGAAATGTTTCACTTTTCAGTTGAAATATTTTTGAGATATTTCTGAAAACTTTCGGTGCTGTATGGGTTATTTCAGATTCTAGATGATACAATCTCGGCGTCACATGATCCCACAGACTTGAAAAAAATACCTAGATGAACCTGATAGCCCTCCGAAAAGTTCTGACAATTATCCTTCATAATCAAATAGCTGAGACTGCAAACAAACAAGTTCTAGCGCCTTGAATCAGAAAAATTTGAAATCTGAAACTTCAAATTTCTAGAACTTTTTAGATATTGACTTCAGCGCATCGGTTATTAAGGATAATCATCGAAACTCTTCGAGAGTCTATCAGAACTCATAACAGAATTATGGATTTCTAAAAAAATTTTTAATCTTTTTGAAAAATTTTTTTCAGAAATTCGGTATTTTCTTGGGAGTTCTGGTGCATCCCCGAAAATTTCTAACGATCATTCTTAATAACCGATGGGCCGAAATCAATATCTAAAAAGTTCTAAAAGTTTGAAGTTTCAGTTTTCGAATTCTTCTACTTCAAGGCGCTTGAAATTTTTATTTGCAGTCTTAGAGCTATTTGATTATTAAGGATAATCGTCAGAACTCTTCGGGGGGCTATCAGGTTCATCTAGGTATTTTTTTCAAGTCTGTAAGATCATGTGAGACCGAGATCGTTTATATCACCCAATATCCTGTGAAGCTAGCCCCCATTATTAAAAAAAATAATTTTTTTTGAGAGTTCTGAATAGATTTCCAATAGTTCCAGAGTTCCTGATAGATTTAAGAAATAATTCTGGCCATTAAAGCCATAAAAACGCGATTAAAAAATGGGGGGTTAACTTCGCGCAGCCCCTCATTTTCGAAAAAAATCATTTTTTTTAGAGTTCTGGATAGATTTTGAATAGTTCCAGAGTTCCTGATAGTTTTAAGAAATAGTTCCGTTCAAGAAAGCAAAAAAAAATGTCATTGAAAAACCCGAAATTGACACCTAAAAAACAGTTATAACTTTGAAAGTATTATTTTTACACAATTTTCTCATTAAGATATTTTATAGAACTCTGCGGGGTCTACCAAGAACTCTCGATAGAACTGTCAGAACTCTTCAAAAATTTTTTTGCTCTTCTAAATTAGAAAATGGACACTTATAATTGCTCGTAACTTTTTCAGTTTAAATTCTACGGATTTTCGTCATTAGGATTTTCGACAGAACTCTGCGGTGGCTACCCAGAACTCTCGACAGAACTGTCAGAACTTTTCAAAAAAATTTTTTGTTCTTCTAAATTAGAAAATGGACACCTATAATCGCTCGTAACTTTTTCAGTTCTTACCTGAAAAAATCACGCTTCGCTCGTCTAAAGGTGCTGTATGAGCGTTAGTAGTTTTGACGTTCAAAATCAGATAAGAGTAAGGTTAGATTATCATAAATGACACTGATATTTTGAAACTCAAAAGAAAAAGGTTTCTCGCATCATATTTTTGTAATTTGCGTAGAGAAGTAGATTATATCTACAGTATTGACTTTTTGTAGCGATTTTTGAAAAAATGTGTTCACCATTAACAAAATATTATGAGTGGATGGTAG